TGTTGGGTTATGGAACCCGGGGGCCTAGGTAACTAGGCGGACGAGTATCGAACTAAGTACGAGCGCACAAAATATGGGGGGTCAAGTGAACCGAGAATGATAATGTGCTAGTAAGGGTAATACTTAGAACGTAAGTCCGGAGCGTGTGGAATGAGCTCCTTCCCCCCTCCCTCTTCCAAGAAGAGGGGTATATATAGTGGGAGAGTGAAGGCTAGGGTTTACATACAAAGACCAATGGGCCGGCCCAACAGGCTGGGCCGCCCTAAATAAGAAATTAATAAACGACTAACGGGCCGATCTCACAAACTAGACCGCCCCAACTAATATTACACAAAGACCGGATACCCCTGTTCGGGGTATCCATCACACATATTATAAACTTTTAAATCTCCTTTTATTATTAAAAAGTATTAAAAAAGTAGATTTGTGATAAAATAAAAGGGTATTATTGATATTTAGCCTTAAAAAGCATACTAAAAAAGGAACTGGGAAAATTATTTCCGGACGGACCAAAAAGAAAAATGTGAAGAATATTTCCGGATGGAGGGAGTATTTAATTTGGGATAAAAAGGTCACTATTTTGACTAAAAAAATCTAAACATAAGAATTTCCGTTGCCGAAAGCCCTCAACGGCCATACCCAAAGGCCCAAAAACCAGTGGCATTTCCCGTAATATTTCTCCGCCTTGTGTCCCATTGCCAATTCCTCCGTAACTTCCTCGTTGCTAAAACCCTAAAACCCCAATTCTCGCACAATTCTTTGGAAACCCTTTCTTTTCGGCGGCTCTGTGCTCTTTGACGTCGGAGCCTTTGGGTTTTCCTCTTTCGCCGCCGGCCATGGCCTTGCTCAGCCGCCTGAGGCCCGCCGCGCTGTGGCTTCCTCGAGTGTCGTGTTCGAACCGGGGATACGGATCAGCTGCGGCGCTTCAGCTCGACTTCGATTATTACGATGAAGAAGACAACGGCCCCCGAATCCATTCGGACCGTACCCGGTTCGTGGAGGATTCTGATGGATCCTTACCAGGCAGGGGAGTTCAGTGGGTGATCATCGGTGACCCAATGGCAAAGCGAAATGTCTATGCTGAGTGGCTCTCCAAGCTCCTGGGCGTTCCCCATATTTCCATGGGCTCTCTTGTCCGTCAAGAACTCCACCCTCACTGTTCTCTTCACAAGCAGGTTTCTTTTTATTTACCCTCTTATTTCCCGCATGAAATCAGATGATCCATAAAATACTTTGTTAGCTAGGATGATGGAACAAGAAGGAGCATCTCAATCTTATCCCATTCATTTCAAGATTCCCTTTAATTTCTCCCGTGTACACCGAAAAAGAGTTTCTGTAATTTCCATACATTTACCACACAATTGAAACGAAATTCATTAAGCATTATTTACTCTGTATAAATCATTTGTGGTTTTATTTTTCCAGATTGCAAGTGCTGTGAATGAGGGGAAGCTAGTTCCAGCCCAAGTAATTTTCGGGCTGTTGTCAAAGAGGCTGGAAGAAGGGCACTGCCGGGGTGAAAGTGGTTTCATTCTGGACGGGATTCCTCGAACCAAGGCACAAGCTGTGAGTATCCTTTTCTTTCTGTCTTAAATGTTACGGAGTGGTATGGAGGACGTGGTATGAAAGCTTGTAAATTGCTTCTATAGCTTATTGTTTTAACCTCACAATTAACCTCCTATTCTGAACTAGGTCTTGACATTTTGTTTCATTGCAGGAAATGCTAGACCAAGTTGTGGACATTGACTTGGTTTTGAATCTAAAGTGCATAAAGGATTCCACGGTGAAGAAAAGTGCAAGTGGTGGGATCTTTTCGTGTCCAGAATTTCTCAGCATGAGCAGCCCCTCTAAATTGAACATTGGTCCGCAGCCAGAGACTGTTAATTTGAAGTTGTCTGATTATGCAGAAACTTCCTGGAGGGAGAAGTTGCGTGTGTACGCAGAGCAGGTACCTTGCTTATGCTCTTAAATAAACGCTATGCAACTTTTATATCCTCCCTCTGCCCTGATTTAATGTTCTGGTTTTCTAGAATACATCTAATTTAAGCATTATGATTAAATGTTAAAACTAGTTACTACATGGGTTTGCTATTTATACTGTATTTGACAGATCACAAGGACTAATCACACCAAGGGCAACCATTGTTCTTGTTATGCCAGCATATTATTTTCTTTGCATTATTGTAATTTCCAATAATAACAGAGATTTCCCCCATTTTCGCGTCATCTTTTTTTGCTGGTTTAGAGCAAACCATTAGAAGAATATTACAGGAAGCAGAGAAAGCTACTTGATTTCCAAGTATCTGGGGCGCCGGGAGAGACATGGGAAGGCCTCCTCGCTGCTTTGCACCTTCAGCACATGAATGTTATCCCTTCACCACAGAAGTTGACCACTTGATGCTGATCTGAATCCACCCCTTTCTTCAAGGAGTGATCAGTATGGAAATCTGAGTGTGATAAAAGCTCAAGAGTTTTCTTTTTGGGCATTCAATTTTGTTTGCTTTTTGTTTGCCATTTGTGTACAAGTAGTTGTAGCAAAGAGCCACGGTAGAAGCCATATATTGGTATTGTTCAGTCTTTCTTTCTGTTATAGCCAGATTAAGTTAAATTACTACTCCCTATTATGTTAAAGAGAACTGAACCGTAAGAATTCTCACGGAAGAGCGTTTATTTCATACCTTAGTACATACTCCGTAGCATTCATGTGGGCCTTTCTCCATGACTAAGGGTCTCGTTGGGAATGATGTTAGAGTTTAAGTTAAGTTTAACGTTAGGATTTAACTATTTGTATCATAGTTAGTGATTAGCATTTTGATCTTTTATTGCTTGGTAATTGAACATATTAAAAAGCAAACCGAGTTATAAACTTCAAATTACGAAAATATCCATTAAGACATGTACTCTCTTCGCCATACAATTTTTTTTTCTTTCTATTTTCATGTGTTCCAATTTTTTTATTTTTATCAAAAAGTTACTTTTATTCATATTAAATTTTAATTTATCTATCACATCATTTTTTTACAATTAATCTACCTATCATATTTTATTTTTATTCTTCACATTCAAAGACCTTTTTTGAAAGTCAACACTAAAATATGTTCTCTTTTAATTTTTTAAAATTTAATGTCAAAAAGATCTTGTAGGATGGAGGGAGGACAATTTAAATTGCATATGGCTACTCTATGGAAGTAACGGTCGATTGCCGCATGAAACGGTTGATCGTCACGGTCTATTCCAGCACCGGAAAATCCATGTTTTAAAACTGTAAATATCTATTTTTGCTACTTTTCAACTAAAAATCTATTTTAATATTATTTCTAAAATAAATATGATGTTTTGATCAATTCAAGAATATTATTTGATGCATGACGGTAATATAGGATGTTAACACTCGGCGCTACATATTTACGCATTATGATGATGATGATTGAATTTTGATTAATTAATAAATATCCTGATTAAATTATGAATATAAGTAATTAAGTCTATCGAGAAAAAACTCTAAGATATATCCCATGTAACTAAATTAGTTGGGCCTTGCGGATGTGTATATTCAGTAGCTCGGGTTAAAACGTACGTACGTGATCCTTAAACCATTTGGGAATATCCCATTAGGGGGTACCTTCCACCCAACAATGTGTAGTCCGCCATTTGGTTTTCTAAGCGTGACCTATAAACTCATAGAATAGGTTATCGATTCTTGTGTATTGCCTTACACTAGTTATAGTTTAAGAGTTTCGTTATCAAAATAAAATAGCCTTAGCCCAACAACAAGCATGTGAGTCTTCACACTGAAACATCAAGCTTTACTCCTCAGTCCTCCCATCCAAAATGAACCAATCCATCCACAAAACAATCCCCATCATCAATTAGCATGTTTTCATTAAAAACCAAGTACAGATTGATTTAGTGTATGATTAACTTTAAAATTATTAAATTAAGCTGACATGTTCATAATTCTATTCACAAATGTATTTAGTTTTGTATTTTTATCTACAGAGTAATTAGTTTTTAGATGTATTAATGACTTTTGTTTTGTGCGTATGCACAAACTTTATTTTGTAACTACTAGACTCGTACCCGTGCGTTGCACGGTCTAATTATAAATTATATAATTAGGAAATGTATTGATGAAAGAAAATAATAAAATTAAATTATAATAATAACAAATAATCAAATATTAAAAAATGTAAATGAAATACATATTTATCATGAAAGCTCACTTTCTTCATCTTGTCCAAACTGAAACAAAGTAGACACGGCTGGTGATAAAAATCAAACCACATGCTCCCAAATGATAACATAAAGCAAAGCTATTACCAAGTGACACTAACTCTCACGGTGCACAATAATACAGAGTAATAATTTAAGAAACAAACATGTCCCCCACACTAAACATGTATATATTTAAATCACAATTCTCACCAATGTGATTTCTTTTTTTTTTTGAGTTTCACATAAACCTTGATAACAAAGCAAATCAAGCAGTGCTAACTGCAACATTCTGAGTTTCATAACACAAAAATAAACCACTTGTAAGATAACAATCGCATCTAAACGATATCATTTACAGCACTGGCAATCATAGGTCAAAGATCAGCACATTCCTTCCCAATATGCCCCGTAATGGCACTTCCTCTCATTTCTCCCTTGGGATTCACTATGACCCCAGCATTGTCTTCGAAGAACATGAAGACTCCATCCTTTCGGCGGAAGGGTTTGCGCTGGCGAACGATGACGGCGAGCATATGACCTTCTTACGGAGATCAGGTTTCCAATGATATCTCTTAATGTTTGTTATCCTCCACTTTTATTTGCCTTTGTCAGCCAATATCATCTGCACCAAAATAAAACAT